CTTGACAGTGTTGTGGGAATTATTTGTTTAGCAGAGTGATGGCGTTTGGGAAAAAACTGTCCTTGTGTCTAGTTGTTCTGGTGTGCAGCGCTCTATAGCATCGTTTTGAGGGAAGGAGTTGAAACAGTTTATGTCCAGGTTGTGAGGGGTCTGTAAATATTTTCACAGCCCTCTTTTTGACTCATGCAATATGCAGGTCCTCCATGGAAGGCAGGTTGGTAGCAATTGTTTTTTTCTGCAGTCCTAATTACTCTCTGAAGTCATTAACCACTAGAGCAAATTGGTCTAGCATACCATACATACCATCACATCATACATACTATCACGCCTTGTGAGACAAGAAGTACATCCAGAAGTAAAGGCGCTATTTTTATAATAAGGTTACATTAACAGAATCTTGCAAGGCAGAAAGGACATTTCTCCCCCACCCCACCTCATTTTACAGTCCAAGGAACTAGGGAGGGTTTCTTCTAAAGATGTTCCATTTCTTCTATATGCTCAGTTGCCTGTTATCAACTTGCCGCCTAGTCTTCCTCCTGTCTCCCAAGATTATTCCCATGTACCATTAAGATCATTTCAACTTATTATTATATAATCTATTATTATTAAATATTCTTGAACCCAATTGAGTTGCAGGGGGCATTGTTGCTATGGGCCTATGGTATTGCCCTATTTTCCCCGTGCAGCTTCTGATACCCAACCTAGACATTGGGGGGGGGGGGGGGGCAGTATGTCTATATAATTAATATATTGCCCAGTTTTCTAGCTTGAGAATAAGTAATAGAGCAGTAGGAGAGGTTTCGAAGTAGGAGCAGTAGGATGGGAGGTTTCAAAGTATTTCTAGCAGGACTTCCAGACTCTGTAACGGCTTTGTTCCCTAGGCCATCCATCTGGCAAACTTGCAAGATTAGTTTCTCTTGCCATGTACATGTATACGTGTGTGTGTGTTTAATCTTGTCATGTTTATGCAGTGTATATCAGAGGCGAAGGCCCTGTGAGAGCTGTATGCAATGAAATTTCATTTTAATGTACGCTGATGAGTATACATTCAAAGTGACAATAAAGTTATAGTAAGTTCTAAGTCTAAATATATTTTACACAGTATATACTGTTCCTGGTGGCCCATTAGGGTATAAATAGCTATTTATATGCCGAGATCCTAGAATAGCAACACAGATTATAAAGAGTCTGGAGATTAAATTGTGTGATGAATGGTTGAAAGAACTGAGAAGTCTAAGCACTAAGGTGTGCGTGAGAGCAATCTTCCAATACGTGAGGAGCTGTCACAAAGAAAATGGGGTCAACCTATTCTCCAAAGCACTTGAGGGCAGGACAAGAGCTAATGGGTTGGAAACTCATCAAGGAGAGGTCCAACCTAGAACTAAGGAGAAATTTCCTGGCATTGAGAACAATTAATCAGTGAAACAGCTTACCTGTAGGAATTGTGGGTGCTCCATTACTGGAGGTTTTCAAAAAATAATTGGAGTTATTTGACTGGGATGGTATAAGGTCTCCTGTCTTGAGCAGGGCGGTTGACTAGAAGAACTCCAAGGTCCCTTCTAACCCCAGGATTCTATATTTTGTGTTCCATACCCATGATGCTGAGCCTATGGCATGAGCCATTTGTGCAGGCACGCAAGCCCCAGGTAAACTTACCTCACTACGCATACGTGTGCCACCCAGCTGGGACCTTTTTTGGCCTCCCAGAGGCTCAAGGGAAGCCTCTGCAGCCTTTGTAGGCCAAAAACCAGGCCTGTTTTGTCATTTCCTGTATTTCCGGAAATTCCGGAAGTGACAAAATGAGTCCATTTTTCGGCCTACAAAGGCTGCAGAAGCTTCCCTCGATCTTCTGGGAGGCTGAAAAAGACCTCAAATGGGCTGAAAATCAGCTGGGAGGCGTAGTGCAGGTAAGAGGGCAGCAGGGGGGAATCGTGCATGCATGCGCAGGGAGCGGTGGGCCACACACATTGCCTTCTGGGTGCTGGTACATGAGCACGTGCATACAAGTGCATGGACAATTTTTGGCACAGGAGCCCAAAACGGTTAGCCACCACTGTTCTATACTATCAGAAATAGATGTAGTATGTTTGTCTATACCAGTCATGGCTAACCTTTTCAGCACAGAATGCCCAAAGTGTGTATGCACCAAAATGCAATACACACGGATCCCTGTGCATGCACCACATTTCCCATGCATGCATTTCCCATGCATGCATCCCCTGTGTATACACCCTGCTCCCCTGGGCATGGACATGCATCTCCCATGTATGCGCTCTGCCTTTCCCCTGGGCATGGACATGCATCTCCCATGTATGCGCTCTGCCTTCCCACATGCACCCCACCCCCTGCACATGTGCAGTAGAGACTTGAAGACCAACTGGCTGGCTGGTCTGTACAAATACTGTAGACACATTTTCTTTCTGCTTACATCCTTTTGCATTGTACATTTTTGTTCAAAAGCAGTTCAGTCTGCGTTCTTGTTAAGAGAAAAAAAATCGTATTTAATTGTGTATAATGGCTAACAGATAGCTAGGGTCATATATGGGCAGGTGCAAAGATCAAGGTATTTTTTTCAAACAAAAGCCTAACAAATTAGCCTTGAGCCTCAAATGATAATTTGACCCACGGACAATGCCTTGACTTCCCAATTTCTCACCATACCACATACAAAGAAAAAGCAAACACTATGGAAGTAATGAAAATATATAGCAGCCTCTAATACTATTACTATTTAAAGCAGCAATAATTAAGACAGTCATATTACTGTATGTACAATTGTTCTTCAAAGTTAATTGGGTTGGCCATCCTATGTTTTAAAGTGAGTGCCAAGTAACGAATACCATTAAATGTACAAGAGTGCCATCTTCTGGCTATTGTCAACTAACACTCAAGTACCAATATAAATCCTGGAATCAGAGAATATCAGAATTGATAGTTTGCTGTTCCTAATCTCATTCACTCTTGTATAATTTATTATCTGGGTCTGACAAACAGATATGATTGTGGCTTTTTCCTGTATTTTGTTACATGTTACAAATATACTCTATGTGCATGACTGCATTCCCACTCACACTAGTAACACTATTGCTAAATTTGCAGATGATACAGCAGTGGTGGGACTCATCTCCGAGGGGGATGAGTCTGCCTACCAAGATGAGGTTGACTGGTTGCTTTCATGGTGTGGAGACAATAACTTGGTCCTCAACACCAATAAGACCAAGGAGCTTATAGTAGATTATAGAAGGAACAGATCAGACCTCCAGCCCTTGCTTATCAATGGAGACTGAGTAGAGCAAGAGGCCAGTTTTAAGTTTCTGGGTGTTACCATAAAAGACGACCTGACCTGGGGTGCTCACATTGCAGCCCTGGTCAAAAGGGCCCAGCAGAGATTGTACTACCTGAGACTTCTCAGAAAACAACAACTGAATGAGAAACTGCTGGTGACCTTCTACTGCTGCACCATAGAGAGCATTTTAACATACTGCACCTCTGTATGGTCTGCCAATTGCACAGTGGCAGATAGGAAAGAACTCCAAAGGGTTGACGTCATTGCCCAGATCATTGGTTGCCCCCTCCCCTCTTTGGAAGAGCTTTATAGCTCCTGCTGCCTTAAGTAAGTTCAAAACATTCTCAAAGATCCACCTCATCCTGGGAACCCCCTTTTTTGAACTATTACCATCTGGCAGACAGTACAGAATAATAAAAACAAGGACAAATAGGCTGAAAAACCGCTTCTATCCCAGGGCAGTAGCTCTTTTGAATTCTGCTGTAGAGTGGAGTGTTAGTGCGGTGCTGGGGGTTTTCGGTTCAATGTGTGGAGGTGAAGCTGGTGTGTTTGTGTTTATTTTCATGTCATGATGTACACTGAAGATGGTGTTTGATTTCGTTGTATGAGGTGCAATGACAATAAACTAAACTAAACAAGGTGGTATCACAACCTGCTATTCCAAATTATTATTGAACAGGTACTCAAGTTACAACTACAACCGAGTCCAAAATTTCTGTTGCTAAGCGAAATAGTTGCTCTGTGTTGTTGTAACTTTGAATGGTGACTGAATGAACTGTTGTAAATCGAAGATTACCTGTACTACATTAAGCTAAGAGGGAGTATGGGTAGTCCTTGATTAACAACAATTTGTTTAGTGACTGTTTTTATTTACGTTATCGATCTACTGGCAACAGACAAAAAGAAGGAAAGGAGTTGTTGCTCTTTCAAACAATCTGAGTTGGATTTTAACAAACTGAGCCCAGAACAAAAACTTATCCAAAAAACCTTATAGCAAAAACATAAAAATAAGTTTGCATAGTACACTTTGTATAGTTTGCAGCCAGTTAAGCTAAACTGCTCAGTGCGAGCAGTTTTCTTTTGGCATCCAGAAAACCCAGAATTTAGATAGAATAGAATAACAGAATTGGAAGGTCAACTAGTCCAACCCCCATTTCCCTTTTCCCTTGGAGGGATTCAAAACTCAGCAGCTCAACCAAGGTTTGGTTAGAGAAAAAGTGCACACTGGAGCTAATCTGGAACTTTTAGTGATTTCACAACCCTTCCTTCTTTCTTTCTCTCTCCTCTCCCTTCCTTTCCAACTTTCCTTCCTTCCTTTTTCTCTCTCTTCTGCCTTTCTTTCCATATTTCCTTCCTTGCTTTCTTTCTCTCTCCTCTCCCTTCCTTTCCAACTTTCCTTCCTTCCTCCTTCCTTTCTCCTCTCTTTCTTTCCATCTGTCCTTCCTTCTTCCTTCCTTTCCATCTTTCTTTTCTTCCCCCTTCCTTCCTTGGTAATTTTATTGTTTTCTTGGAAGAGGATATCCCCCACCCCAATCTAACCCTCCCATGAAGATTCCCTCGCGGTCTCCCATCCAGGCCACCCTCCCTTCATGCCACAAGCAAAGCGGGCAGGAAACGAGGAAAGAAAGCGAAAGTCTCGCGAGGCTCCACCCACTCCCCGCGGGCCCGAGTCGCGCCTTCCAGAACGTCACTTCCTCCCGCGCGGAATCGGAAGTTGACGCTCGGACGGCCCGAGGAGGTGTTTTCTTTGGACGAGCCGGTGCTTTCGCGCAGAGGGAGGAGGTTTCTCCTCCTCCTCCTCCGGCCGGGAACCGCCGGTGAGCTAGCTGGCCCCGAGGCGGCTTCTCCCACGGGGGAAAAGCTGCCGTCCTTCGGTTTCTCCTTCCACCGGTGGGCCCCGTTGTCGTGGAAACCGGGCTGGGAGGGATGATGAGCAACTTCCTGGCTGTCCCCTCTTGGATGGGGATAGCGGGGTGGGGGGATCGCCCGATGTATTTGGGGTCTGTGATGCCCCCGTTGCAGTCGGCAGCAAGTGACAGGTGTGTGGACTTCAACTCCCAGAATTCCCCAGCCAGCCATTCAATTCCACCCATTCCCTGTTCTGGCTGAGGAATTCTGGGAGTTGAAGTCCGCCCACTTTCCACTTGCTCAGAATGGAGGCAAGCCGGATCACCTTTAAAGGAAAGCACAATTTAAGGGGCTTTTTTTTTTCAGGAGGCAGCTGGACTTTCTTATTTTTCTCTCTCTCTCTTTTTTTTTGAAGACGTTTCACTTCTCATCCAAGAAGCTTCTTCAGCTCTGACAGGATGATGGGGAATGAAAGGATTCATATTCCTTGCAGACAGCTGGTCATTTGCATCCTTGAAATGACCAGCTGTCCCTGAAGCACTTGGAAGTTTATCTGTGTCCTCAGGGTCCTGTAGTCTGCAATTTCCCCCGCCCCTGCCCCCCCGGAAATCCATTCCTATTCCCACACCATTCAAAGGATGTTCATCTCAAATTGCAAGCTAAAAGTCTCTAGCGATTTTCAGTCATCCAGGTCCTGGTTGTCCCAAAGGTGCTTTTTTTCAAGAGGCAACTGGACTTTCTGTTTTTTTTTTGTTTGAAGATGTTTTACTTCTCATCCAAGAAGCTTTTTCAGCTCTGACTGGGTGGTAGAGAATAGAAGGATTTGCTAATTTTCTGGAAATCCGTTCGTATTCCCACACCATTTGAAGGGTGAAATCCTTTCATTCCCCACCATCCAGTTAGAGCTGCAGAAGCCTCTTCGGATGAGAAGCAAAACATCTTCAAAGAAATACAAGAAAGTCTAGTTGCCTCCTGAAAGCTCCACTGCTCCATGGATCTGGAGTATATGACTCTTAAATGTAGACCCATATATCTTCCATGGAAATTCAGTGTGGTTTTGATTACCGCAGTCTATGCCCCACCTGATGCCAATACTACCATAGCTTTGGGATTCTTGTATAACATTGTTAGTAATCAGCAGAATAAGCATCCTGATGCTGTGCATATCATAGCAGGGGACTCTAATCAAGCTGATTTAAAAGAAGTGCTCCCTAAATTAGGACAAATAGGCTGAAAAACAGCTGCTATCCCAGAGCAGTAGCTCTCTTGAATTCTGCTGTATAGTGCAGAGTTGGTGTGGTGACGGGGGTTTTCGGTTCAATGTGTGGAGGGTGAAGAATGTGTGTTTGTGTTTATTTTCATGTCATGATGTGCACCAAAGATGGTGTTTGATTTCGTTGTATGAGGTACAATGACAATAAAGTAAACTAAAAAGCACCTTTGGGACAACCATGACCTGGATGACTAGGAATCGCTACAGACTTGATGTGGGAGGCTTAGCTGATGGTTCTGGCTGCTATTTCTGGAATCCCACACCAGACTGAGCTTTTCTTGGCTGGACTAGAAGACCTCCAAGGTCCCTTCCAGCTCTGTTCTATTCTTCTTGCCAATTGTGTGGAGCGAACATGATGATGGCACTGGTACAATATCCTGTAAGACAGCAAAATTTCAAGTCCTCATTTATGCACTCTCAGTTGTAGTGTGTGGGGTAAAGCATGTTGCAGTGAGGCATAGTTTAACATATTATATGGGCTCCTCAATCACTGGTTTGGGGCAAAGGTGGGTGAACAACTGGTGGATGTCCCAAAGACAGGATTTGGGGGGAGGGCGGCATGAATGCTGCTAAGCAGTTGGTGTTACATTGTGCAAGCTTTCGGGGGGGAGTGGGCTTTGGGGGAGGTGTTTTTGTTTTAAACCAGGAGTCAGCAACCTCCAGCTCTGGAGCTGCATGTGGCTCTTTCATCCCTCTGCTGCAGCTCCCTGTTGCAGGTCGGCTCCACAGTTGTTAGGGCTTTTGGTTAGGATAGATAGAGGAAAAAGGACACCATGGTAGGAGGAGACTCTATTGTGGGAGGACCACCATAGAGTCTGATTGTCTCCAGCATTGAAGGGGGGCATCCGGTTAGGACCTTTGTGGCTTTTTGAGTGTTTAAGGTTGCCGGCCCCTGTTTTAAACTGTGATCAGCCTCTTTGAATTCTGAATTCTTTGAATTCTGCTTTTGGCTTTTAATAGTCCGAAATAGGAAAGCTGGTAACATAACCTGGTCTGGAAGTAAAGCAGGTTTTGAAACAGCCTTCATATCTTTAAAACCTCTCACTTCTATGTGGGCATTATTTTCATACACATAGTAGTTATGCTAATGTTGGATTGTAAGGTATAATAAGTTAAAGACACCTAAGTTGACAAATGTTTTCCTGCTTTTTTTTGTATAGATTTTAGTACAGTATTAGGATCTGTCAAGTCAGTTGCCCTAAATCTTGCTACTATGTTAATTTTTCTGTCTGAAACTTTGTTTGTTTAAATAATTGGTTTTACTAAGCCGCTTTGTTGTTTGTTTTCTACTGTTAAAGAGTGTGCTGTGTTTTGCTTTTGCTTTGTGACAAAGTTGCATAGATTTTAAAAATATTGATGCTTCTGAAAAACTGCTTTTGGAAATCATTAAAAAAAATTATTGATGATCCTTTTCTTCTGTTTTTTCTTTCAGAAATGATCCATTTTTGCCATGAATAGAGATCTAATAAGGTGGCTGGATCAATATCTGCCATGGCATCAGAACTTTGTAAAACGATATCAGAGGCAAAGCTAGAAAGGCACAAGAATTTATTCTTGAACTATCGAAATCTTCATCATTTTCCTTTAGAATTGCTGAAGGATGAAGGTCTGCAGTACTTGGAGAGATTATATATGAAAAGAAATTCGTTAACTACCTTGGTATGTCGATTCATTGTATAATAAGCAAAATATGTGTTGTTGTGTTGAATAGAATTTGTTTTGAAGTATAAGCTTTTTCTTACACTGGGCAAAAAAAAAGGATCTATGTTAGCTAAATGACTATTCTCAGTCATCCAGGTCATGGTTGTCCCAAAGGTCTTTTTCAAGAGGCAACTGGACTTTCTGGTTTTTCTTTGAAGACATTTCGCTTCTCATCCAAGAAGCAAAGAAGCTTCTTGGATGAGAAGTGAAACATCTTCAAAGAAAAATCAAAAAGTCCAGTTGCCTCTTGAAAAAGCACCTTTGGGACAATCTATGTTAACCTGTTCAGATAGGCCAAGTCAAGAACCAAATGCTGTAAGGCATGGGTAAAGAGTAAAGAGAAATTGCCTTAAGCTGCATATAAAATATATATGTCAGATCCGTGTATCTGTCATTTCTTCAGTGGAAGAAGAAAAGGGGGGGGGGAGGCTGATAAAGAAATCCTTTCTTGATGTAACCTGAATATATTTAATCTTATATCGAATTTGTATAACTCACACATGATACAATGGAGGGAGAAAAGCCAGATGGCCAGAACTATCACCTCTGAGAGGCACAACCAGGAGATGAGAAGGTCATAAAAATTCCACAGTGAGATTGGACTTTGGGAATCTCTTGAATAGTTCGTTCTAACAAGAGGGATGGGGAGGAATTAACATACTGGCTTTTGTTTCACTAAATACACATGGAGATAAGGGGAGAGGTTCTAAACTCCCTTATGTATCCCTGTATGCCTGAGAGGCCTCAGACGCTGCTTTGAACTCCTACAGGAATTGTCTCATCTCAATAAAGAATTCCTTTGTGATACGTTTGGATACGTTTTCAGAAGTGCATTCTAGTTGAGTGAATGGGAAAAGTTCTTTCGCCTGACAATATAATATATTTAATGTATATATAATCACATAATGTTAAAAAGTTTATGATCTTGGGCAGTGATATTACTAGCAGTGCAGGGCTAAATGCGGTCTCCAGGTTGGACACCACTACCTACACTACAGCATAAGATTAAAAAAATTAAAGAATACAAGTGCAATGAAGCAAAGGGTCTCACTCTACCTCGCCAAAAGCCTCAGGAAAAAGCAGAACTTCACTGCTGTTCTAAATACAGTCGCTGCAGAGTGAGGTCCATCCAGATTTTGAGGCAAGCCTTCTTCTAGAGCGGGGGTGTCAAATTCAAGGCCCGGGGGCCAGATCCGACCTGCAGAGTGCTTAGATCTGGCCTGCGGTACTTCTACCAGCAGAAACAGAGCTCAGAAGGGCTGTGGCCCTCCGGAGCTCCCTTTTCGCTGGCAGAGGGTTGCAGGAGGCTGTTGCAGCCGAAAACAGACCTTGGGAGCCAGTTTTCTCTGGCAGAGTGCTCGGGCCACTATAGGTGCCCCAACACAAGTGACGTCGAGCTGGCCGCTCCCACTCTGGCCACACACACACACACACCGAGTTCAAACACAACCCTGATGCGGCCCTCAATGAAATCAAGTTTGACACCCCTGTTCTAGAGGGTAGGCACTGTTATGGAGAAGGTGATCTTCCAGGGTCCAGTTAGATGAAATTATTTCCTCAAAGGAATCCCCAACTCTGCAAGATTGGATCTGACAAGCAGGTGTTATGGGATGTAGAGGGTCTTCAACAAAGACTTTTGAGGACGGCATTCTAATTTGAGAATGGAAATAAAGGAGAGAAACGTTAGTCTTTTTTTTTTTTAACAGGTGCTATGCTGCCTACCTTATCAAATCAGTGAAAACTTGGCCGTTCATTAGTATTCAGTTAGAAACTGCTGCCCAACTTCAGCGTGTTGAGCATTAATTCCCCCAGTAGGTGGAAACCAAACTCAGAATTTCTAAATTTCTTAACTGCAAAAAAGAGATGTGGCTATGTACCGTTCTGCATATGTGCTTAGCTGAAAGAAGATTCTGAGGTGATTGCTTGCATTACGAACAGAAATAATTTGCCAGTAGTATCCTACCCTTCCAAGTTATTTAACCATCTGTAGTCGCTGGCTATTGTCATATAGAACTAGACTGCACACTTTTTATATTTCATAAGTTTCTTCAGAAACTCATTTTCCGAGAAGCACCTCCCCACCTCCTGTAAACAGTACAGCACTGAACAAAAAGTTGCAACCTATGCTTTAAACTCTACTCTTTCTTTAATCCTTATCTCATAAATTCTTTAAAATTAGTGGTTATTAACCGGTGGTCCGCAGATCCCTGAGGGGGATCGCAATGTTCTCATGGGGTCTATGAGGAGTTGAAAAAAAATGTTATGATTTAAATCTTGAGTTACGTCTTGTGGGGTCATGATCCGTGGCCACAGAAGGTATTTAAAGGGGGTGCATGGTGAATAAAAGGCTGAGAATCACTGGACTGGATAGTCATTTTCTGAACAGACCTATTTAGAATATTGTGACGTGGATGCTGTAAGAATGGCTGTTAGTTTAAACATTACTTTAGCAATCTTTCAAGTTCAGGGGACTTCCAGCTTATACGGCATATACATTAAGATAAGTGGTTTATTGTGTACTGTGGCAAAGTTAGATTATTTTACACACACTAATAAAGATATAGCAGCGTACACTAAAAAGTTTATTTCAAAACAAATTCATCCTGAGCTTGTGTTTTTGATCAAGTAATTAAAATACCATGATTGAAGTAATCAATATAATTTAATTATGTTGTTTTGTAGTGTAAGGATAGCTTGAAAACACAGTTGATATTACTAACCTTATCACTAGTAATTGAATTGGACTCTTAAGATTTTGGACTACATTAATTAATATTTTGTGTTTTTTTTAATGTGAACCAACTCCTCCACTCTTCTGGAATTCCCAGTTTTACATTGGAAGATTATTTGCTTTCTGCTACTAACACTCCTTGCTGACTTGACGCACTCCTACTCGGGGAAAGTCTGTGGTTGCTGTTTAGGCAAGGCTAAATGCAATCATTGCCAAATCAGGTAGAGGAACAGGTATAATAGTTTGGTGTACAGCTTTAGGATTCTGGTACCCAAAGCTTCAACCTGGTCATACCTTGAAAGAAGAAACAAATTGTTGTTGAGATGAAACTATAACTTGATCTGTATTCTTTTTTTTAGCCAGAAAACCTTGCCCAAAAACTTCCAAATCTTGTGGAACTGTAAGTATATTATTTTTGTTGTTGATAGTAATTATGCTGAGATATATAAAAGTGGCTTGACTTATTGGAAACTATCTTACGTGGATAGAAAAAGTATATTAGAGCTCTTTTTTCCTGATCAAAATTAGACCTGATCTAATTTTGTTCTTATACTACCATCCTCAGGCTATAGAGTAATAATGCCTGTGAACCTATAGATATTATTCTGTGAAAAATTGCTAGAAAATATCATCATGCTCAGTTCTTGCTGAGTGGCTACATTTTATCTACACTAGCTTGGTTATTTACTCAGGAACCTTGTGAATATACTTTCTAACAATAATACAGTTTGTAACAATCTAATTCTTATCTGCTATAAGCGTTTAGAGCGGCATTGTACTTTGTAATCTTAAAACATAGCATTCTAATACCTTTAATAACTATTTCATCATTAGTTCCTTTGATCAAGAATGTGAGATTGTATGCTTTGGTTAGGAATGCAAGAACCTTGTATCTTGTATAACTCCATTTTTTTCATCTGACAGTTAATATATTTGCAGAATCCAATCTGGGTTGGTCACCGGGACTAGAAGCTTTGTCTTCAAACTTTGGGACGTGTGCTGGAGCCCATCTTCAGGGAATTTCCCTCTAGCCTAACCAGCCCAGATTGGATCCAGTAACATTATCCAGGGACACGTGTATTCGCCTTCATTCGTGTTAATATATTTCATCAGCAATCCTGTGGCAATGTTGTCTCGACACACACACACAAGCAAGAGAAAGGCCTCATTATAGTGCCAAAAATTTCTGGAGAATTTAAGGATGCTTCATTTTTCCAAAGTGCCGCTTTGAAAAGGTTTGCATTGTTCTCACAACCCCTGGAATAATTTTCAGCTACAGTATCATGGCAACAGTTCCTGTAAGCATTAGTGGCTTAAAATAATTAGAGGAGCACATCTGTAACCAGGTCATATTTTATAGCCTCTCCATGGTCAAAGGATGTGGGCTAAATTATTAATGTATATTATATAGGGACACTGTTCTATGCATGCTGATCCCATATCACTAAGAAATATGGTCTAAACCTCCACTTAAATCATCATCATCTTAGCAACTCACGGCAAGCTGTCTCTTATTTATAATTTGAGTGTCAGCAGTGCAGTTATTAATTTTTGAAGGTCATTGCAGTCTGCAGCTTCTTTAAGGAATAATCTTGCCTCATCTTATCTAGTGGGAATTCTCTTTTAATGAACTTTAAGTACAGCTTTCATGAGAGTTGCATGTTTTTGGCACCATGCAGTTTCAAACATAATCTGATTAAGCCACGAGAATCTTCTTAATTTTTGAAAGAGGTTATTTCTAGGAGCCCTGAAAAGCCAGCAAGCTTGTTGAGCACATACTAACGCTTTCTTGTCCAAATTATATTATGCTCTTTAATCCTTCCCCACCCCCACCTAACCCCATCTAAGTTACTCTGTTGTTAGAAGGTTGGGATTTCAATTTGGGTATATTTTAATCTTGTTAATGTTTTATCAGATTATAAAACATTAAGTTGAGGTGCAGTGGAGCAAACTGCTGCTAATAAGATAAAAAAAATTCTTCTAGCTGCAACTCTGTGTTGCGGTGGACTCAAAAGATTTCAACTTGTCACTTCAAGCTTCTTTAGGAAATTTGATGAGAAATTGTTTCCCTGGTTATATTTTAACCTAGCCTTAAAAACCATGGCATTGGAACCCTCTCCAGCATGGAAACGCTAATACAGCAGTCCATATTTGAGTGACAGTTCTACTTTTTTAAATGCTGCATAACAAACTTGTCAACTTTGCATGCATAATGAATAGATCATCTCAACCTCAAACAATGCAGCCATAATGGTGCTTGTGTGTCTTCGTTACTCCCAGCATTGAAATGAATGCCAGAAGAAAATCCAGAGCCTGGAATTAGTGGAGCCCTATTAAAATTGTTTGTGTGGGATGGTCCTTAAACAATTCTAGCTAATATTGCATGAAAGAAGACTGTTTCTTGAACATAAATATAAGTCAGAATCCAAAGCACCTCATAAATAGTTCCAGGCACCAGAGATACTTTAATGCTAATAGGGAGGAAATGGAAGCAAGAAGACTTTTTTTAAAAAAAACATTGTGTGATGAAATGGAACACACCCCGGCCTTTGGTGGTACTTAAAGTAGTTCTTAATCTGAATGTGCTTGGGCTTGTCAGTAAACAAGGTAAAATTATTATTTTTAAATGTAAATTATTATTACTTTAAATAGTATCATTCTCAATTTTTGTTTGATTAAAATTGCCACCTGCAATTTGTTTCATGTTGCTATTGAAACTGTGTGAAGGTTGAAATCAGCACAAAAACATTGGAAGAATTTTGACAAAATATATGTTTCTGATTTCCTTGGTGGGGGGAGGTAAATGATACTTTTAAAATACAGGCAATAATAAGACTTTCTCCGTGATTTCTGAAAGAGAATTCCAGTAGTTTTCCCCTCTGCAGGAAGCTCTCTAAAGCAATTTCAACCTGTCTAATTCACAAGAAAGAGGTCTTAGCTCAGATAGGAAATATGTTGACCTTGGCCTGGTTTCAGTCAGAGAGTAAGCCACAATTGTGTGTACTTAAGATTATCTCATTTTGACCGTGCAATAGCTATTTGACATGACTGACTAATTGTAACCTTCCTTTATTGACAACAAGAGAATAAAAGAAACAAGTAGCATGCATGTTTCCGCTGTGGTACAATCTCATTTTAAAGTGGCGTTCAACTTGAATACAGTGATACATTCAAAACTATAAGTCAAAGCAAATAACAAGCCTAAGAGAAATAGGTGAAATTTACTTATTTAATTTTACATCTATCACTTTCTCTTTTTCTCCTGTTTTGTGTCTGTTCTCAGCACGCATAGGAAATCATATTTGGTAGATGTTGGGTTCAAAGTATCTGGCTGATAATTATTTATTTCATAAGCATTTGTTTGTTTATATCCGGTCTTTATTGTTTTTTACAAATAATAGAACATTTAACATAGAATACTAGGGTTGGAAGGGACATTGTTCTCAATGTCGGGACATTTCTGCTTAGTTCCAAGTTGGATCTCCCTGATAATCTTTCATCCATTGCTGCTTGTCCTGTCTTCAGGTGCTTTGGAGAGTAGGTCAACCTTCTCTTCTTTGTGATATCCCCTCAAGTAATGAAAAACTGTTACCATGTCACCTATAGTTCTTAGTTTCAATAAGCTAGACTTATCTAGTTCCTTCAGTCATTCATTATGTACCGTGTTTCTCATATAATAATATAATATAATTTTATTTTTTTTGAGCCCCGAAAAAATGGCTAGGCCGTCTTTTTGGGGGTGACTTAATTCCCCACCCCTTGCATCTTCGGGCGGGCGGCAACGGCTTGGATGTTGACCTCGGCATTGGTGGGGCACTTCGTATCGGGGTCAACGCAGGCAGCACCATATCCGGGTGTGCAACAAAAGTACTTCCCAACGGCAAGCCCCCCGCACCATTCCCCCCCATTTCACATGTTTTAATATCGGCCTTAATTTGGGTGGAGGGGCTTAATTTCATTTCATGCCTATAAAACATGCTGGGACTTCCTACTGGGGGAGGCCGTATTGTTGGAGAAACAGGGTAGATTAGATGCACAATAGTTTGATTGGTCTGGTGCCTGATGATCATAGATCCTCTCTAGGCCAATTCAGGAATCTTCTCAAGATCTTTTCTTAGTGCCTAGAAACTGTGAGGTTAGGGATGAGGGACAGCAGACTTCAGCTCAAACTGGCAAGATGGAGTCATGGGTGTGAAGTTCTGAGGATTTTTGGCTGTTGTATGCCATCTAGGATCATTATGTAAGATAAACAGCTATTTAAATTCTTTAAATAAATAAAGCTTTATTTGCTCACTCCTGAAACTAACCATATGTTCTGTTCTTTCCCCAGATATCTGCATTCAAATAATATTGTTATTGTACCTGAAGGTGGGTGCCCTAATAATATCTGGATTATTTTTTGCTCCATTGACTTTGTTAGAGTACTGGGACAGCCAAAATGCCATTAAGTACTATTCAGCTTCAGCTCGACATATGACTTTTAATCTTATTCATCATTTATAAAGCATTTATTCTTAATTTATCTATTCAACAGTCATACACCATGCAATTGCCTTTTATAAATATAATCCCTAGGAGATTTTTAAAAAATATTCCCTGTTTAAAGAAGGAAATATGCCAGTAATAGCAAGGAAACATTTTGGCTGAGCTGCAGTAGTTTTGATTTTCTAGCATGGCTTCTACAGGGATCTTCTTCTTTACTTTCTCTTTTATTGCTTTCGGTGTGTAGGGATTCTACAGAGTGCAGGACGATTTATGCAAATAGATTAAATAATTGCAGAAACCCATTGAGAATTATAACTGGAGAATTCTTACATTCTGGTCATAAATTCAACCTCTTGAACACTAATGAAAACTCAAATGATTATAGTTGATTTTTTTAAAAAAAATGTTTAATTGCCCCAAAGGTGCTTTTTCAAAAAGCAACTAGACTTTTTGGTTTTTCTTTGAGGATGTTTCACTTCTCCAGTCAGAGCTGAAGAAGCTTCTTGGATGAGAAGTGAAACATCTTCAAAGAAAAACCAAAAAGCCCAGTTGCCTCTTGAAAAAACACCTTTGCGACAACTGTGACCTGGAGGACTGAGAAACTCCATAGACATTTGTGTATATGATCAATTTATATGATTGCCCACCTTACAAATCTGATTCTCTTTAAAACAATACAACCAATAAAAAAAATAACCAAAGACAAGGACAGACCACGTACTATGACTATGGCAATGTTTCTCAGACTTCGTAATATTAAACTATATGGACTTAAAATCCCAGAATTCCCTAGCCAGCCCTCCCACACATCTTAAAGTTGCAAGGTAGAGAAATACTGTCTTATGGCAACTGAGAATACCAGCAACCACCATACCTGGGCTCACCTAACTTCCTAATGTCCAGTGATATGATATTCTAGACTCTAGAGCAGTGGTAGTCAACCTGGTCCCTACCGCCCATTAGTGGGCGCTCCAGCTTTCATGGTGGGCAGTAGGGGTTTGGTCCCCTACTTTATGAATCACCATTACTGTGGAACCAGTGGGCGGCTAGAGAAAACTTTACTACAAAAGTGGGCGGTAGGTATAAAAAGGTTGACTACCCCTGCTCTAGAGGGAATATAATTTTGTTCCCTCAGCATTTTTTGCATATAACTGCTGAAATAAACTTTGCACGAAAGGCTGTGCAAATAAATGTGCTAATCTACAGCAAGATATCTTGTGTTTTAGAAATAAGCTATTATTAACAGATGTCTCATTCTAAGTTAAATATATTACCTTTTTTTCTTAAAGCAATTGGTTCTTTGGTTAAACTGCAGTTTCTGGACTTGAGTGACAATGCTCTTGAAATTGTATGCCCAGAGATTGGGCGTTTGCGGTCTCTACGCCACCTTCGATTAGCTAATAATCAGCTAAAATATTTGCCAGCAGGTAAGGCATGCTCCTGTATACAATTTTTTACCCGTTATATAATACTTGAATTGTGTTAAATAATATTAGTCAACTGTTCTTAGTTTACTCTTTCCATTAATTGTATTCATTTTTTTTTAAATTTTATTTGAGTTTTCACAAAGAGAAAAAAAATACAAATAAAACATCTTTTTTGAAAGCAGCATAATCCCGGGTTACATTTCTTCGTACAGACACAAATTCAGGTTCATGCTCATTTTTATATTCTATTCCATATCTTATTACTATTTTACATTTTCTGCATAGCTTCTCCCCTCTTTTAATTTTCTCAATTTTATTTTAATTATCTCATCTCAATTCATATCATTGTATTTATATTTTTTGTCTGTCCTCTTTCAATTATCAATTATCTTTTCTCATTAAACAAAATTTCTCCTGTGGTTACTGATTGGAGTATAACGCCTTTATATCTTTTCCCTAAAGTTGTTCCCTAAACGTTCAATATAATACATAACTTCCATTCGGATTCTGCTTGGTACGTTCTTAAAATACACACTGTATTCTTAAAAAAAGAAAAAAATATATAATTAAAACAACATTCCATTCCAATTCAATTCTATCATTAATATTAATATTCATTAAAGTCTTAACCTCTTTAACATTACTTTTCAATTAAATATCATACTTCTATGGGAACAATTATAAGCTTTCCATAGTTAATTTCTCCCCCTTCACTTATATTTTATAAAACATTAACTAATTAAAATGTTCCCGTTCCTTCCTAATTCAGTTAGAGAAACAGGACCTATTTAGAGATAATGGGTGAAAATCTAACTGAAAAAGGGATTCTGTAAAGGTACATAAGTTTGTATTGTTATATTAGTAATAGAAATAACTTTAGAAAATTGGAAACAACATATGATTAAGATGAGGGATAAAATAGTGTAATTTAGTGAAATGTTTGTGAATAAAATAAGTGAAATAAAATAAATGAAATAATTGTATTTATCATGCTGACTTAAAATTAAATGCTTAGTTACAGTATTAAAATGCATTAAGTTTGCTGGAGGCAGATTACTTATCAGAAGAATTACTGAAACCCTTATTACATTCTACCTCATTTCCCATGTATCCGATAATCTGAAATATTGTGCCACAAGTACTATATTTTAAGGTATTAATTTGGGATGGTATAATTTAATCACCACACATTAATGTTGTTTAGCTGGAAGTACAATAAAAGCAGCACAGTCTAATTACGATTACTTGGAGTCATTCTTAGTCATTTTTATTTCAGAATACAGTGCAACCTTAAGCACAAAGTTATTTTTTTCTTTTGTAATGTAGCAAGAACTTTATAGTGAATGCTGAATCCTAACACACTACTTCTACTAACATTTTCCAAATATAGAAATTCAAATGGACAGTAACTGTAATTGAAAATGTCAAATGGTGGGCATTTCATAAAGTCAGAAACTTCTTCTGACTGAAAATTGTCCAACATGTTTTCAAAATATTTAATTCCAAAGTAGGTACCTGGATATAATTAAGTTTCTTAGAATTCATGCTGGATTCCGGCAGTTTATATGAAGATTTTTTTTCAAGCAAAACTTAACTTTTTTTTAAGGTAGTGAAGGGTTTTTATATGAGAGCTTTCAAAAAGGTTATATTACAGAATGACTATTTGTCTGTTATGCTTTACTTAGGGTTTTTATACCTTTCGGTTTAAAAGATGCTTGCTTATTTTATCCTCCATTTATAAAAAATATGGGACATTAAACCTTTTCTTCCTATGTATTAAAATCTTTAGGTATGTGATATTTCTGACTCTTTAAAAAAATATCACTGGTTTTAACCATTAAAATATCTGTCAATGTTGAATTGCTGATTTAAAATCAGATTGCTTAAGGTCCCGTAACTTTTTCTTTCCCCAAAATGTTTATGTATTCATCCTCTGCTGCTTGTAATAATTCATCTCAGTTAGGAAATTGGCCTCTAAATCTGCTTCCCTGAGTCTTCTGAAGAGTCCTTTCTGGTATTGCTTTGCCAGCACTTACTTCCCTAGCAGGTTTCATGGTTGCAAATCTCCACTTATAAATCCCTTTTAAGGAAATGCTGTGATTCTCATAATTGTGAGTAAATAACCACACATTCCGATTTAGCAAAGAGCTGGATGCAGCTTATCACTGCAGTTTTGTCACCATTGCCTTGAGCAAGAATGTGATTTCATGGGGGGGGAGGGAGTATATTTTTAGAATTTAAATTGCATCCATTTTAAATACCTTCCCAGGTATTCCCAGACATGGTACTACCAGAGTACACAATTGCTGCAGGAGCTGTACTGTTTGCCAGAGGATTTCTAAGAACAATTCATGAAGAACCCTTCCATGGTTCAGGGCCAGAATATCTAAGCGATTGCCTTTCACAAATAAGTCTCTACTTACCACATGTGCATAGAAAAGGTAGTGAGATAGAACCTCCAAAGCATTTTGCTGAGGTAGCACCTCTCCAATGGAACAAGTTCCCTTTGAGAAGAGCAGGGCCCCTACTTTAAGGACCTTTGGCTTGACTGAAATTAATAACCACATCAATGTGATTATTAATATAGTTGTATTATTTATTGTTGGGTATATTATTGGGTGCGGTGGCTTGGTGGTTAAAGATGCTCAGCTTGTCAGCTGGAAAGCTGACAGCCCGGATTTGAGAGACAAGCACCATGCAGCAGGGTGAGCCCCCATTCCTGCCCCAGCACCTACGAGTAGATAAATAGGTACCACTTTGATGGGAAGATAGCAGCATTCCATGCAACTTAGGTGTACAGACATGCTGGCCACGGAAATGTCTTCAGGCAACGTTGCTTCCTTCGGCCAAGAAATTGAGATGAGCACTGTACCCTGGAGTCAGACATGACTGGTCAGGAAAACCTTGACCTTTATATTATCATCTGAAAAGGTAGATAAATCGTGCAATTATATAAAGAGAGATGATTAAAGGGCTTTTATATAAGAGAAGCTGTTTTATTAGGAGAGCAGTCGTATATTGATTTTGATCTCTCCCACCACATTTTGACATGCTTTCAACATGAATGTTCTCTCAGATAAATGTAATGACAGCCACTGTAGTATTGCTGGTATCATTCTGTCAAAGCTCAGATTCTAATCAGTACAGTTTTAAAACATGTAAAAGTGGCAGCTGATTATGTTATAGCCTTCTGTTGATGTTTTAAGCTCCATTGTTACAGAAGTTGGGGCCCCATTGGAGTTGGAGTTTTATTTTTCTACGAGAAATTTTTTTTTTTAATAAAAATGTCTGGAACTAACTTTTGGCATTTTGATCTATTGAACACATAGCAGATAATTTTTTAAACATCTGACAAGATTTGAAGATTCTGGATTATTATTATTATTTTGGATTTGACATTTGCAGCTTATAAAGTGTATAAGTTGTAGCATCGTGTAATATTTAATTAAAGCAAGCTAAGTTTACTCAGCAAGCATTTGACATTAATTATTGATTTTGTAATTGAAAAGCTTCATGTTTTGCCAGCTTTCATGGTAAATGAATTAAACAGCTTTGGCAATGACTACCACAATAAATTTCTTCTCAAAATATCATCTATATTGCAGCCTAAAGTTAGCTAAGAATATTAGGTCATAGCCCCAGTGTCTGATCCTGCAAAGAACCATGTTGATGTAATAGTTGGTTTTCCATGTTACCTTCTGGATATTCTGAATTTGGTAGATGAGGGAACTGTAATCAGTTGTTTTCCACATTCTACGTTTAATTTTGTCAGACAAAAATCAACCAAGGACAATCTGTTCTCGCATGTCCTAAGTCATAGTTGGCATCCTAGGTGCTTAAATATGTTGTATGTAGGATCGTTTTTACCATCCCATGCTTAAACATAGAATTCTCTTAGTATATTAGGCTTCCTTCTTTTTTTACTGTGAAAGCAGTCTATTAACAATGTATAAATTTATTGATAATTCATTTAAACAAATTGCTAAATATATACAGGAAATGCCTTGCAGGAGTTAGTGAGGAAAATTAATAAAGTTTTCCAGACTAACTTGGTTTGGTCTCATTTTAGTATCTTTATGATCATTCAGCGGGACATTAAGATATTTTTCTTTCATGGCCCGTTAAATATTTAATGGGCCATGAAAGAAAAATATCTTAATATTTTTCACATTAAATATTAAAGTGTCTTTTTTCTGATCATTTTGGAACTTGAGTTTAGCAACGAACCATAAATAAAAGTTCTAATCTTATACGGCAGATTTTATTTTTTTTATAATAATGCATATCCAAAAGTGATAAAGGTTCACAGATCTATCCCAGCAAGTTACTTTTATCAGTTCTCAATTTTATTTGTGTAAAAAAAATTCCATGTGGATTTGCACTAACAACCAATTTGCAGCTAAACTTAATATTGTCCAGAATCTCAAGATTTGCTTCATATGCAGAAACGGATAGTAAGCAGCCTCATTGGGAATCTTTTCTGGAGTTGTCACAGATTATATGAATACAGAATTACTTCAGTTTCAAAAGATCTTTGCTAGGCCACATGGAAATAAAACAGTTAAATTAATATTGAAATGGTAATAGAATTTTTTTGGTTTGAGGAGTTTACAAAAAAAAAGGTAAAGGAGTTTTCTGAGGATTTTACTCTGCCAGTTATTGCCGATTTTAGGGATTGGTGCTCAATCTCTGTTCCAAGCCCATTAAAGACAACCCTGTCCAAAGACATTTCCACAATTATGTGATGCATGGAACGCTGTTACTTTCCCACCAAAGTGATACCTATTTATCTACTCCCATTTGCATGCTTTCGAACTGCTAGGTTGGCAGGAGCTAGAGCAAGGATGGGAACTCACCCCATCATGTGGCACTCAGGGTCTTGAACCCAAGCTTCCAGCTTTCCATCCAAAAAGCCCAGCATTTTAACTACTGATCCACTACACTGTCCCTTTTTACAACTAAAGGGGAGGGGGAAAGAAGGGTGAGAACCTAGTGCCCAA